CCTTATCTTATAACTGAGAGCAAGTAAAGGTGGTTGGTACTGTGAAAGCAAATTGCATAATAAGACATCTTGCATTGTGCCCATAAAAAGCTCTATCTGCAGTGGCCAGCTGCTTTTTTTTGGCTAGATATATAGTTAATAATTAAAAGCATATATACGTTTATTTTGCATTCCTCTCATGAAGAGAGGAATACCTTGGTTATCTGCAAGCTTAAGTAGCTCAGGGCTATGCATTAAACTGCCTCTTCTGTGCCATGGTGCCACCAGAGGGAGCCAGAAGAATTTCCTTCCGCCTCCTCCCAGAGCTGTGCGTTGGCCCATCGAGGACGATGGCTGAGGAAAGAGGTTTGTTCCCTAACRCAGAACAAGCCTGTGGAGCCATCTCAACACGCCGATACCCCAGCACTGAGTTTAGCCACTGTCTACAAAAAAGAGCTTTCCTTGCACATGCTTCAAGTGGAGTTGGTACAGGAATAAGTTTCCTCCCAAGAGTTATATAATATTGAATTATTCCTTTTTGCAAAAGATGTGTTGGGTTTTTATTGCTCATTTTTCATGTGTATCATTTCTGGTAGCGACGTACAGGTAAGATGTTGGGTAAAAGTTCAGGTGTGTTGTCAGCCATTTAAGCAGCTCCATGCAGGATCTTACCTTCTTGCATTGTACCAATGAGCAGTTTTAGGATACTTTAAAAAGCATAGAAACAGTGGAATTTCCACTAAACTTCTTTAGTGTGTAAATTAAGGGTAGAACAGCTCCAGCTGGAGCTAGTCATGCTTCCAGGAACATTGAGCATGGTTGACACTGGGAATCTGAGTTCAAAAAGCAGCAGGTTGGGCTTCATGAACCACCTAAGAGCTGTTGATTGCCACTTCCAAGATGTTCTGCTAGATCTCCACAGTGTCCAGATACGACGTTAGCTCTGTAGATGCCTTTAAAACTGAAAAGAGTTTTTTGCTAATCTGTCTTTAAAGACCAAGTGATACTTGAATGTGTGATTAGTTGTGTTTAATCTATATAAAACTTCTGTTTGGGCAAATCTCTAGCATTAATAAATTTCCTTATTTTTGTTTGATGTGTGTTACTTGATCAGCTGCTAAACAGGTACATATGCCATATACCATGCCATATACCACATCCAGCTATTTAACACAATTTTGTTTTTGTTTTATAGGGTTTTCAGTGAATGCCTCCTCAGAGCGGCTCAATATGGGAGAAATAGAGACTTTGGAAGACTACTGAGCATGTGCAAATCAACTGGCTTTCCTGCATCTGTTAACCATGGATTCTCCGTCTTGGACACAGTACTCTCCACCATGCGTTCTTCTTTGCCTGGCAGTGAATCACAGAATCAATCATCTCAGGCTGCTTCCTCTAGCCCCAGCAAACCCTCTTCTGCCCAGGACTGCACAGGCGTTGTTCTTACCATCAGCCTACAGACATGTGGACACTGTCCCAAGTCCTGGGTGGGTGGGAGATAGGATTTGTTCACAACAAGGCTGATTTGGGCAGCAAGCTTTCACTGTGCTGTGATTTCTTCTGCTGACATACCTGGAAAAATTCAATTGGGATTCTGCAAACAGTTGCTTCCCTCTTCTGGTTACTCTTACAACATACAACACGTGCAGTCACGGAGAGAGGGAGAGAGAGAGGGAGAGAGAGAGGGAGAGAGTTTGTGGTTAACAGATGTTGGTCAAAACCAAAAGGCCCCACAGATACTGACTTGTGCGCTCCATCAGGGCGAGAGGTGCTCTCCAGGCCAGGAGTTGCATTCATAAGCTAACCTTAGAACTGGCAACACCAGGAGCGGGGTGGTGGCGGGCGCAGTTTAGCTTGGGTTGGTTTGAAGTTGCACACCCCCTGCCAGCCCTTCTCAGCACATAATTTTTGGAGGGAAGGCTCGAGTCTCTCTTCGTTAGGTGGTGATGCCGGAGCCGGTAAGAGTCTCCCATCGGTGTGCTCCCCTCCCTGGAGAAGCGGGGACTTCTGGGAAAAGGCGGGTGGCATTTCTTCTTTCAGGTTGAATTTATCCCTTTAAAGGCTACCTTCTGAGGATTAGGACCAGTTTGTTTTGAGCTCTTCCTGCAAATTTGTCTCGTTTAAGAGACAGTAGGATCTTTCCGTGTGGATCTTAGTCTTTGGCGAGGGTGAACACTGGCTTTCAGATAYGTACCCGAGCGGCCTTGGCACGTTGTCATTTCCAACAGCAGCTTAGACTAAAGGACAGAGGTGCCCTTTGGTGATGGAAAGAGACTGGAGGGCGAAGCTATGCGCAATGACAGCTCTGTTTATCTTCTACACCTTAAATTGCTTCACATACCTTCACATGGATCCGTAATGTTTAAGTATTTATGGAGTCATGACCTTCCTCTCTCACCAAAAGATGTCACACCAACCTCCTCTCTCCACCTACCCCTCACACACCACGAACGAAAGGAAACTAAAACTGCCAAATGCACTTACTTTCAACCCCCTGGTCCCATCTCCCATCCCCAGAGGGGTCTAACCTGCCAAGGGAGACGAGCTACCGTTTTGATGGAGGTCTATGAAGGTGTCTGTCTTTCTCTGTCATCACTGCCTAAAGAAAACAGTTCGAGTTGCTAAAGAGCAGTTTGGCTTTGGATTTTATTTCGTTTGGTTTATCCATTATTTTTTTGGGGTCACCTTCCCCTCTTCCTCCTCTCTCTTCCCCCTGCCCCCAAACATGTACAGTAACTATACAGAGACTGCTGCAGACTTGTATATAGTTTTTGGATCCAATAGCATGGAGAGACTTGGAACTGTTGGAAATCTGGTCTCCCTGTCTCCTTTGCTTTGTAAATTCATAAAAGGGGGAAGAGGGATAGTTAAAATGTTTACAAAACTTTAAACTCCCTCTGAACTTTTGCCAGTGTGGGGGGGGTGGGGGGGAAAGAGAGAACTTAAATAAAACCTGGTTGTATTATATCTGAGAGCAACTTTCCTGCTTGCTTTTGTCAAAGCTGAGTTTTGAGATAAGTCTCGGTGCTAAAAGCGCCCGCGAATGCGGCTCTTGATACTCTTCAAGAAACAACAAGCAAATGCAGAGGATATGGAACAACAACCACTGCTCTATTCCTTCCCTGGTGAGGGAGACCGGGGCCTTTTTTCTACTTGATAATTTTAGAGCTCAAATAAACACCGGTAAGTTGAGACTGAAAAATTTTAACAAGAAAGCTTTGATTTCTTCCCCCCTCTCTGTGTAGAGAAGCATGTGCATTCACACTCGGGCTGTTTATACAGCAGAGATCAAGCTGTGGTCGGTTTTCTGTCATTAAAAACACACTTGGCCCGTGGTAAGTAACCAGCAGTCAGTAACCAGCCACCCGCTCCATTCCCATCCCTCAATGCAGGGTTTATCTCTCCCCTGCGCTGCACTGACCACAGAGATACCTTGTAAGCTGCCCTCTCCAGGAAAAATCCTGTTTTTCTTTTTTACCCATATTTGTTTTCTGTTTTTGTGTATGGAAAATCCCAGTAGAGGTTGATAAATGTCCTTCTAATCCCTTGTGCACAAGGATGAGGTCAGTAGTGCCTAACTAGTGCAGTAGTCTGGCATAATATTTAGCTGCTGTCCTGGAGAGAAAAGTACCTGTTTATGTTGAAACTTTGACTTTGTTTTTAACACGTTAATTTGTCAGTGTCTACATATCTTGCTTATAGGTTATTTCTGATTTTTAATGGTGTGATTTAATTTCCGTGACCTGTTTTTCGAACACTTTGCTGTGCGAGAAGCAAGCAGGAGACTGGTGCCGAGAAACTTAACTGGGGAGGAAGGATGGAGCATGTTAGCCCTTGCTAAATGAGAAAGTGGGAAATAGAGGCAGGGAAAGTGGGCRTGCGTGGGTCGATCCCAAGAGCCCTGCCTGTCTTCTGGGAGCTATTCCATCCATAATGTCCCAGCRGGGATTGTCTTGTCCTTAAATATTTCAGCGTTCTGACTTTGCCTTCAGCTYGGAGGCGATAGGCTGGTGTTTTCAGACTGTTTGAAAGGTGCTGGCCCTGCTGCCTCTCCTTGGTCAAGGTGGATGGTGTCTGGAGTAGCGAAGGTTCTTTGAGTGGAGAGCAATGGAGAAAGAGAAGCGGCTGCGTTAGACCCACAGCCGGCGTTGGCTGGTGCTGGACTGGTTTGCCTCCGAGGTAGGGCCCGACCTGAGGAGCTAACGTGGCTGCRGTTGAGGTTGGGAGGGTGGTGCTGGATCCGCTGGAGAGTAGCGTGCGTTTCAGCAGTCATTTCCCAGTTCTGTTCCGTAGCAGTGGTGGCGTTTGGTGCTTTTACAAGTGCTTTTTGTGAAGAGTTCGGTCAAGGGACAGATTGCAGAGGAAGTCAGAGCTGCCCCTGGATGCCTTGGGGAGAAAGCTCCAAATAGTATCTCCTAGCAGGAATCGCATCTGAAATTTAAGACAAAACTACTTGTGCCACGTTTTCTGAGTTTAAAAAATTGGCATTGGGGATGTTKATGTCCTTTAATTGCAAATTCTTCTTCTTCTGAATAGAAAAGGGGAAGTATTTCACCCTCATGTCAGCTTAAAACAACCTAATTCATTTGTGTTGAACATCCCTGTTCCCTGTGTAGATGTGAAGCTCTCCTCGATGCTCCTCAGGKCTGCTGTGATTCCCAACCAGTCCTGGGCTTCTCTGCTGCAAGCTCTTCACTGGTCCGGGGCAGCTCGGGCTCTGTTTGGGGGCAGCTAAACCGTAAGGATTGAGGCCTCGTTCCCTCTCTGCCCACCATGGGAAGGCCCGTGCTGCCCCTTCGGCACCTCCGCGGGCCCTGGCAGCCCCTGGCGCGCACCGGGCTCGGCCTGCGCGAGGACGGGAGTCCCCAGGGCGTCCCCAGGCCCCTGGGCAAGGGCTGGCGCTCTTGGGGCCGGTGGCTCTGCTGYATGTGGGTTTTGGGCAGAGGCTGCAGGGGTGGAGCCCACGCGGGAGGAGGTTCGTGAGGCGGGAGCCCGGCTGCTCTGCGCTCGCTCTACCTCCTCACAGCTGCAAAGRGATTTTTGTCTTTTTATTTAATTTTTTTTGACCTGACTGGACAAAGTTTTGATTATACTGGTGAAATTGCCGAGTTGCTTAATACTTTGAAGGGTTTCTAAGAGCTGCTGCCGCCGCGGTGCCTGCAGCGAGCCATGCCTGGCCGAGGAGCCCTCCACCCGCTGCTGCTCGTGCTCTGCGCTGTCCTGCTCCCCGCTGCGCTCGCAGGTAAGGATCGGGCCTTGCGATTCGTGACCAACACCAGACAGGTCTTTGATTCTTCTGCCTCCTTCTCCCCTCGCCTGCCTCCGTCCTACTCTCTCTCTCTCTCTCTCTCTCTCTCTCTCCTATAAATATCTTACGTAGTTATTGAAATTGTAATGAGGGGTGTAAATAGAGCTTTGGAGTGTCACTGGCCTTGAGTAACAGTATATTCCCATCTTGGGACTATGTATCTGTTAGGAAAATGTTACAAATCCTTTGCAGTTTTTCCTAAACCATGAGCAATAGCACCTCCGGCAGCCCTGGTGCCCATAGGTGACAGCGAGGAGGAGGACGCGTCCCTGCTGTGATGGGACAGGCTGCAYGTCCGTGTTTGTCAGGAACACGCTACAGCTGCGGGACGCGCTGGGAGGCTCTCGGTGCTTCCTTCCCTGCTTCCCGTGACGGCCAAACTGCAGTGAGCCAGAAAGGAGATGGAGAAGGAAATAAGAAAACACCCAGGGAAGCCTTCAGCACAGTCAGAACCTGACTTGTACATCCAAACTGATTGTGTTTCCATGTGCAAGTAGGACCATAGAAGCGCTTGGCAACCCTAGGAAGGCGCTTTGGTGAAACCCAAGTACTGGGATGTTTTACATGTCACCAGAGCGAGGAGATGGGACGCTTAGTGTGAGATGCTTGTTCCATAGGCAGATTTTTAGGGCAGTTGGGGCTGATTGCAGCCTTCCCTGCTTGTGCTGTAGCACAGTTGCGCTGTCTTGAGRCGAGAGCCCAGTGAGAAGCAAAGGCGTCTAGTCTGCCAGGGCTTTACAGGTGAGGAAGAACCAGCTCCTAGCCCTGCTCCACAGCAGGGCCTGAATGTCAGGGACRAAAACCAACTTCAAAGCTTCTTTCTTGAAGCACCAGTAAGGCATGAACCAATGGCTTGTGCCAGCAGAAGGTTTTCCTTAAATCCCTGCCCTGGCTGCGAGGCTGCGGAGCGAGGCTGGCTCGCGGTTCCCTCGCGGTTTGCTCGTAGCGCCTCGCAGGAAGGTCCCAGCCAGCCCCGACCAAGGAAACAATTCCTTTCTGAATGAGTTTTCACAAAGTGAAATTCATCGCTGCACCCAGCAGCAATGTCTGCAGGCACAAAAACAGCATTACTGTGCTCCCCTCCCACATTCCCCTTTCAAGACACAGTCTTGCTGGGGAGCCTTTAAAGTACCTACGAAATGGACRCTTAGAAGTGGGTGTTTTCCTTCTCAGACACTGAGCTTTGATTTTTTTTCTTGTTTATTTCTTATTTAGTATAATGGGACATCTAAGCACACAGTGTCAGTGTGCAGCCTGTACTCACAGTGCCTGTGGCACTGCTCCTTCCCTAAACAGGTAAGGATTTTCCTTAATGCTCCACTTCCCCACACAGAGAGGGAGTCGTTCYTGGAGAAGCTGTGATCTGCTGCTGCTTGGAACAAAAGCTTCCCTCGGATTACCTGAAATTCCCTGTGCTGGGCATGTCCTCACTCTCGGAACCCTGTCAGCTTTGCTTATGTTTGCTGTAGGCCTGGGCTTTGCAGCCCTGGTTTGCATTAACCTGGTGCTCCCCTGCGTATCACTGTGCTCCTGAGCAGCATCCCATGTTCCTGTCCCTTCTTGCCAGGGGAGCGAGGGCCGTGAGCCCTTGAAGACCCTGGTGCAGACAGCTGCAATGCTCTGGGGCACGGGAGAGGCTCTGCTTTCTCCCACTTGCCTTGCAGAAGTCCAAGGCCCTCTAAGCTTCTTGTTCTCTGCTACCTCCTTGTAGGACCCTGGGACCAGGCGTGGTGTTAGCCCTTCCAGGAGCAGAGTGCTTTGCTTCTGCTGTGAAGAGTTCYTATCCCCATCCAGGGGCTTTTGGTCAGGGTGGAATTTTTTTCCTGCATTTCAGCCCATTAGAAGAGGAAATTTCCTGCCTTGCTCCAGCAGGGAAGGGAAGGGCGAGCAGGCAGCCTCACAGCCCCGTGTGTCCACAGGCGGCCCGGCCTCTCTGTAAACAAGTTTGTTTAACGCTCATGAGCAGTGCAGTGCCCCGGGCTGCTCCGCGCCTGCTCTTCCAGCCCTCACGGCTCCACAGGCCGCCCTTTGTGCTCCCGATGAAGGCCGCCTTTCATGCCCACGCTGGCCCTGTGCCCGTCGGGGCTACCTGCTGCTGGACAGCCCATCGCTGGCCAAGGAGTTCACCCAGCCCCTGCCCTTCGGTGTCAGCACCTCCTCCTTGCTAGTGCAGAGGCCTCTGAAGCAGCCCAGTGGAGCTGCTCTCGGGTGCAGGTGGTGGCAGCCGTGCAGATCTGAGGTCCTCTGTGACTCTTTCAGATATAGCACCCGAGGCTGCTGTTAACTGCTTAGGAGTCCAACAAAATGTGAAGAATGTGGCTGGCAGAAGCAGCCTCCCATTTTGGAGTGCTGCTGGGTTGTCCATCTTGACATGGCTTCTTGTCAGCTAGTTTCCTGGTTCCTAGTTCCTAGGTTCCTATGTGATTATGAAAAAAAGCACATCCAATTTATTGAGCTCTTTCCAATACCATGTTTGTCCAAGATAGGAAAACAACAGTCTTAGAACCTTAATTGTCCACATCATCTAGGTGCAATGGAAATTGCAGCCCCAGTTTAGGAGCTTTCTGCATATCTAAATCTTTCCTGCTTTCTTTTTTCCTCCCAACTGTCAGTGACAGAGCTGCAGTGCAGAGGGATGAAGAAGTGTCAATTTGGTCCTGAGAGCAAAACTAGTTTTCGATCACGTGGTGGGTTCAGAGTGCAGAGTGGAAACGAGTCTTTGTGAGGCCTGAGCTTCTGAATTTGGGCTCTATTTTGTATCCAAAGTCTGATGTGGGCTTGTGAGTGTCTTCATGTGAGCTGGTGTGGAGGTATGTTATATTCCAGTAGCAATTATCCTCCATATGAGCAGGAGATGGTATTTGTTACACGACGGGAAAAGACCTTGTGCAAGGACATCTATCTGTAGTGACTGATGCCTCTTTGTTCCCAGTAATAAAGAAGTTGTTAGAAAGTTTTATAGTTGAAATACTAGAAGAGAGAAGCAGTAAATCAGGYGAGAGCCGGGCACATTTGTTACTTGAGGTTGTTCAATCAGGTCTCTCCAGACACAGAACAGCTCTTAGCATTACTCACTTGCTAGGCACTGAGACTTCTTATAGGCTACCAGCATTGGGATCACCTCCTGGCTAAGGAGTTCACCTTTCCAGGAGTTCCAGGAGTTCACCTGGCTTTGAAGGTGGAGAGTTTGAGTCATAAAYTAGAGGAGACTTTTCCAAATTTACCTCTGACTCCTCTTGTAACAGGTATAAAATAAAACTGCAAAACTCTGTAGTAAGAAATAAAAGCACATGAGTTTTGAGGACTCAAGTTTTGGAAGTATCAAGTTAACTTGCAAATGGCTGTGACTGCACAGAGCGCAACATTCAGGTTATACTGTCACCCCTTGCCTCTTTCCTTGGCACGTGAGGTCTCCTGTTGACTTGTGTGAGGAAGAAAAGTGGTTATGGTGGCTATCTCCATCAGGGGACAAACGTCAGGTGACCATATCAGCCTACCTTGAATGTCCATGGGGAAGGTCTGTGTGTGGGGGGGGATACCTTTAAGGACCCTTGAAGCCGGATTAGCTTCAAGAGTTGCTGCCTGTGGAGGTCATGAGATTTTTGTCTTTTAACCACTGAGCATCTAAGGCATGAGCCACCTGCTCCTCACCAAGCAGGGAGATGGGAGGTGCACCAAGCTGCTTTAGAGCCATGTAACCAACTGTAGCCAACCGGGGCTCTTGAGGGAACATGTGCTCCCTCAACACAAGCCCAAATGATTTATTTGGGGCCTTTCTCTTGGCAGTGCTTTCTATCTTGCTCTTTCCCAGTGAAGGAGAGCTGTACTGGAGGTGATGTGACTCAGCAGCACTGGCCAYGGTGCAGGAGCTGCCCCTTCTCACAGTTAGGTGGAAAAGCCTGTGCTTTACGGTGTGTTTTCTCTTTCAGATGGTCACATCCTTCACACTTTTTAGGTCTGTTGGACTCTTGCATCACGTGCAGGCAAACTGAGCCCAGGAAGGAGAGTGAGCTGGGACACTTATGCTGAGAGTCGGCAGCAGCCCTGACACATCGGGGAGCAGTCTGGGCTTCCCTACCTTAAAAAAAAAAAAAAAATGATGCAAGGACAGTTGGGTGGCTGGTTGGGCTTTTTTCAAAAGAGTGGAAATGGGGGCATGCAAGGACAGGAGCTGTTGGTTTAGGAGGGGAAATCAAAGACAAGGCTTTTGGAAGGAGTGTTCCTAGTTGCACCCTCCCAGGCAGCAGCAGTTGGCTCTGGAGAGACCCACTGGCTGGCAGGCTTCCCTAGGGAGGTGCCTGCTTGGGGCTTTGCACCCCATCCTGCTGGAGCAAACAGGGAACCCTCTCAATAAGGCTTGGCCGAGCAGACGGCTCTTRGTATCATTCAGATATTGTTTTTAACCTTATCCTTGGTGCAGACACGTGGTTTAGCTGCTTGTTCTGAACTAAGCTGCAGTTGGTGAGTTGCTAGGAGAGAGTGAAAGGAGGTGTGTTTCCCTTGGTCACTGAGGTGCTGTTGAGCTAAAACCACAAGAACTTGGTACAGAAAACTCATGTTTAGCAGAGGCTGCTCTTTTTCTGAGAGCTGAAAGGTGGTTTTAATCGGGAGAGAAATCAACCAAACAGATCTAGAAGCCACCCAGGACTCGGTCCAGGTTTTAAAAAACACTGAGGTTGTAAACACACTAAACTGTTTCCTCTTTACTTGGCTATTAAACCGGGGCACAGAGCTTATTTTTGAAAGTTGCGATATTCTTGGGAAGTAGCTGCACCAGGAGCAGGAGAACCGTCCTTTGCCCATTGAGCCTGGCTAGAAAGGAGCCATCACAACACTGTTTGAAGGGGTGGTGTTCCTAGGCCCTTTGAGACCCATGTGTTGGGAAGAGCCTGTCCAGATCCTATCGCCGCCTTGGATGATTTCTGGYTGTTTGTCTGAGCTAACACCTTTCTGCCTGGTCAGATGTGGAGGCTACGCCTGGCTCTTTTGGCTTGGGAGAAAAAAACATTCTTGGGCAATGGAGCACTGACCTCCTCCCAGCACAGCCCCTTGCCAAGCGGGAACGGCTCCTCTGTTGGTGCTGGCCTTGTGTGTGTTGACACAGCGAGGAAGGGCAGAAGCAGAGTGTAGCTCTTCTCTATGGGGTATCTCCATTTGCCAAAGGAGCCTAGAAATGGGGCGTTGAGAGTGTTGGCTACATACCAGTCTGCCTAAACCAACAGTTTCCTCGTGCCACTGGTGCTAACTAAATAGTCCCAAATCTGCTCAATTCCTTTCCCTGTTGACTTAGCTACAATTTACCCACTAAATTCTGCATTTCCTCTTGATCCATCCTCCGGTGGCCAAACCACAGGATTTGTAGAAGAGGGATCCACAGCACTTTCTGGACGAGCCCGTTGGATGGGGCGTTGAGTCTGCAGTGCTGCTGGCCTGTCTCACAGGACGGAGCCAAGGGAGCCCTGCAGAGCTCTGGGGGACGGGTCTAGGAAGCCATCAATATTTGACTGTGTCTGACGCACCATGACCCTGGGTGTGGCTGACCTTCCACCCAGACCCAGTTTTGGGTGGCAGTGCCACCCATGCTGCCTATTGCCCTGGGCCCCACTATGTGCAGCCCTGTTTGCTCTGCCTCTTTCCCAGCCTGGAGAACCAAGGTGTCAGCCCAGCTGGGCCCTGGTGGCGGCCGCCCTTTGCTTTTGAACATTTTGTTTATTTTTTTAACTTTTCTCCACCCCAGTGTGACATTCCTGGCGGCTTCAGCAGAGAGCCGAGGAATGTCTCCTGCCCTGGCCCCGCTAACAAGCGGCGCATTGACGGGGAGGGCTCGCAGGCCTGAGCGCCCGCGCGCGGGGAGGCCGCAGCCCCGGCGGGAGCATCGCRCGGGAGGCAGCTCCGCTCTCACCGCGTGGGGAGCGGGGCTGGGTCCCCAAGGGCGTCCAGCCGCCGTCCCTCCGTCTGCCCCACGCAGCCGGTGGGACTCACGGCCACTTGTCTCCCAGCAGCGCAGCCACGGGGACCGCTGCCCACCGCGCTGTGGCAGGAGCCGCCTGAGCTGCCGTCGGGCGCCGGTCCCTTCGACGCTGCCGAGGCCACCACGGCCGGGCTGCCCCCTGCCTCCGCCATCCCACCGCGCACCGCCCAGCCCGAGGACACCACCCGCCTGCATCGTCTTGACGCCTCTGACGGTAGGGCGCGCGGGGAGGAGGGCGTGCAGCAGAGCAGGGCCCCCCTCTCAGGGCTGAGCAGAGGCCCCATGTTTGTCCTTTTGTGTTTCCCTACAGGGTCATTGGGGCCTGGAGCCATTGGCGCCATTGTCATCGCCTCCCTGCTGGGCACTTCGGTGCTGGTGGCCCTGGTCGTCATCACCCTGAGGAAGTTCTCGGCCTCCTGAAGCAATAAAGGCGTTTTGTCCCCCCCCACCGCTGCCTCCCTCCTGCGCGCGCTGCTGCTCTGCAGGGAGGCCGGTGTGGGCACCCCGCTGTGGTGATGGTGGGCATGTGGGGAGGAAGAAGAGACCAGGGCTCTATGTGTGCTGGCTTGTTCAGCTGTATTTCATCACAAGGGCAACAAGACACTGAGAAGGTCCTTTCACCTTAGGGCAACATTTGACCCTGCACTGGAAACGGGTGGGACTGAGGAACCACAACCACTGCTCCTGCTGGTCAGGGGAGAGGGGCCTAGAGCGAGTCCTGCGCTTGCTGGGGGTTGCAGGGTGGGCGCCTGGGCTCCCTCCACCTCGCAGCGCCTCTGCTCGSTGCTGGCCTAGCCCTGTGACTCACTGCTGGGTGAGTGGAGGTTTCTGTGGGTGAGCGACACCTTCACAGGGCTGGGGGCTTCCTCCAGAGCCCGAGGAACAGCAGTGCCTTGTGTCCTCGGGGAACTGAAGGATTCCCTAGAGCAGGTGYCCTGCTTTCTGCCCAAGGAAGCTGCAGCCGGAGTGGAAGCTGAGCTGTATGTGGCAAGCTGGCTCTAGGGGCTGTTTTGTGGTGGCCTGAAATGGGGGGCATCCCCTTCCCAACCCCTGCTTTGGGCCCAGATGGGAGGCTGGCCGCCCAACCATTTCCCAAGGGTGGTATAGGTGGTGGGGGCAGGTTCAGGACCAGGCCCCCCAGCTCTTGATGTGGTTACAGCATAAGGAGCGATGCCCCCATTGGCTTTCCAGCAGTGCAGCTGTAGGGGCAGGAGCAGGGCTGACACTGCTCCAGCTGTCCTTGGGCTGTGGTGCCTCCAGGGACCTTTAAGGGCAGCTGCAACCTCCCAAACCCCCTGCGCCCACTCCCTATCCCCCGAGCCGGCTCCCAGTGCTGAATGTAGCGACCCTCCGTTGCGGCATCACAGCTGGATGCCAAACATCCGCTGCGGCAGCATGGGGCTGTTGGAACAGGCGGTCACTGCAGGGGCTGCTTCATGCTCGAGCCCTGCCCTGGTGGCTCTCGATGCTGTGCCCTGGGGTGCTCATGCGAGGAGGTGTGATCCTGCAGCTCTGCGGGCAGCAGAGGGGGTGCCTATGTACATGGGGATGCGCTGGTGCACGGCAGGCGTGCGCACACTGCAGGGTAGCAGGGGTTACAGGCATGCAGGCAGTGCGTGCTCAGCCTCCTCACTGCCTCCTGGTTCAACGTCACCTCATGGGCTCAAGAAGACCCTGCACAGCCTTGCCGGCTGTGCACAAACAGTTTGCACAAGTTTTCCACTGCAGGTCACTTGCCCAGTGTTCACGGTGTCCCTTGGTGTGCCTGTAGTGCGGCTCCATCCTGAGCACTGCATGGCCCAGGGTGGCCAGTGGTGCTGGGAGCCTCCAGGCTGGTCCCCGCTGTGCTCCGAGGCTCCTGCAGGCAGCAGCAGGGATGCAGGGGTGCAAGGCTGGGCTCGGGGGAGGCAGGGCACTGGGCCTCGTGCAGGGCAGATAAAGGGTCAGCCCTGCAGAATGGGCCCTACAGCACAGAGGCTGGGAACCAGGATCCCTGGGGGACACATCCTGGCCACGGTGCTGCCTTGGTCTCTGCTCCCTGAAGCGYAGTGCTAGGAGAGCCCTAAGCTCCCCAGAACGTCTTTGGGTGCAGCAGCAAATGCCTGCTCTGGGGGCTGCTCCCCGGAGCTTCACAGCGCACCTGGGTCAGAGCACTGGTCTCTAGAACAGGATCAGTGCAGCAGGGAGAGGGGAGCCCAGGAACTAGAGTCTGGTTGTTCAGAGGCGCCTGTCTCGGCAGGTCCCCGTGTCCTGCGGCGGCGCCGCCGCGTTCCCCCGGCTGGCGGACGGTCCCTGCGCGCCGGGAGCTGTTCRCGGGCGCCGTCCGTCATTGGCGATTTCGGCTGCCCAGTTTCCTCCGCTGACTGTCRTCTGACTTGTGCACCCGGAAGCACTCCTTCAAGTTCTGTGCTCGGATTTTGGGGTTCAGGATCTCCTCCCCCATAGAACTGGGGAACCAGCCCCTCTCCTGGTCATGCAGACGCTCCCCAAATATCCAACCTGGGCAGAGGGAGAGAAAGGGTAAGTGGAGATGGAGCGGCCCTTTTACCGGGACAGCTAGGAGCGAAACCACCTCTAAGCTACTGCTGCTTTCAGGAAGCTGCCTGTGCCAGAGGAGAGGCAGCTGAAAAGGCAGCAGAAGGTCAGCCTGGCGAGGCAGTGCTGCGCTCGGACGAGCAGGTAAAGGGACAGCGGYGAAAGCAGCTGCTCTGCTTCCCAGGAACCTTCTCAGCTTGTCCCTGGTGCCACTGGAGCGATTCCTGGCAGACAGATGTGACTGAGTTCTCCAACCAGAAAGGTTGGCATGCATGCTCCAGGAAAAGTGCATGCTGCAGGGACTGGCACCAGGTAGATATGAGGCTCTGTCAAGGTAAGGGCAGCCCTGGTTTGGTTAGGGCAGCCTGGCTGACCCTTAGTGGAGGGAGCAGCTCCGGCTGCGATGCCGAGGTCTCACCCGACTGTCTGCAGCGAAGCCCTGTCCTCCAGCAGGGAGGCTAGGGCTGGCCCGCCGCCCTTACCGTCATCCGTCTTGTCCAGGACGTTGAGGACGTCAGCCAGCTCCAAGGACAGCTCGTCTGGCTCCTGGGCCATGTAGGGGTGGACGCACTGGATCTGCGGGCAGTCTGCCAAGGGACAGGGTCAGAGTGAGGGACAGAGAGGTGGGAGTGGGACCCCGAGGCTGAGGTGCGTTTAAGCCCCCTGCAAACAGCCCCTCAGGGCAGGTAAGGGCCCTGGAGGGAAGGCARCTCTTACCAACAAGTCTGGACGTAAATGAAACGAACTTGGTTCTCCGGTTCGGGGCTAGCGAAATCATCCAGCGCTTCATCTCGCTCCTGCACCAGGAAGCCAAACGGAGGTGGTGAGCAAGAGACAGTCCCAGGGACCCTGCACCTCCCGGCAGCCCCGCATCCCAATTCCTCCTCTCTCAGCCTTCCCTGCCACTTCCTCAGGGTCGTGGACCCATGGAGGACTTTCCCAGTGACTGTTTGGTAGGGAAGCAGAGGATGGAGCTGGGTTCATGCTATGGCCCTGGGATGCAGCCAGCTCTGCTGCTGGGGAGCAGCAGGATCCCAAGAGTAGTGCAGCTCTGGGGCAGCTCCAGGCTCTGCAAGATCCACAGGCACAATTTTTCCTGGGGAAACACAATTAGGAGACCCATCTAGTCCCACAGCTGCCACATGGGGATATTTCTAGGGCAGAGTGGCTGATTCCCTCACAGGCTGACCTTGCAGCGGATCAAGGGCACTGCTCGTTTGACAGTGGATGAGACGACAGRGCCCTGCAAAGGCACTGCTGGATTCAGGGTGCTGTTGTTAAATGCAAAACCCTGCTGGCAGCAGGGGGCAAAGATCTCGCGTGTGCTGGAGAAGCCCAAGCACTGGCCCTCTCTCGAGACTGCTTCTAGTCCTTCTCGCAAATGGGACAGTTTGTGTCTCCCCTGACCCTGAGAGAGCCTGAATTTTCTGCCTGCTTGGATGGCAGCCCTTCAGATCTGCCCTGCAGYCCCAGCTCTTCTGTAGGATGCACTGATCAACTTGTGGCACTTGTTTCCCTCTGTTACTTCCTCAGTTTTCTTCACCCAAATGCCTGGTTTGTGCCCACATCACCCCCGTGCAGGGGCTATGAGCAGGCAGAGCAGGATGCAGACACGTGAAACGCCGCTGCCTCCCCTGAGCCTGGCMTGCTCGGTCAGTCTCTGCACAGCTCAGTCCCACAGATGTCAAACGCGTCTGCTCTGTGTAGTGTGACTGATGTCTCTATTTTCAGCACAGTAAAGCAACAGTCACCTGCTTGGAGGGAAGCTGCAGTGCTTGCAGTGCTGCCGGCTCCTCCTCCTGCCCCAGGCACGCCGCCATGCTGAGGGCTCAGGGGGTAAACTCCGGGCCTGCAGCAGGAGTTGGGCAACCCCAGTCCTGGCTGGTGTTTGCTAAGGCATGTGGATGTCAAACGGTGCCCCCTTGAAGGCCACACAGCATGCAGCTCTGGGAGCTGCGTAGCTCGTGGCGCAGATGCTGTGCCTGCAAACCCACAGGCCTGATAAGAAACTGAGACCAGAGAGAAAGCCGAGCCCTGAGGTCTGGCGCAACCACAGCTGTGTTAGCCTGGTCTGAGTTTGTTGGAAYATGAAGGGAATAATCAGTGAGCTAAAACATCTGTACCAGGTAGATGAGGAGGTCTTGAGCAACACAAGGGCTGCAGAAGGCTCTTGTGAAGAGGCTTCTTCTCCTGTCTTCCCCTACAACCAGGAATCACCTGGGAAGTCCAGGTGGCTGCCTGGAGAGCATGGCTGAGCGTGTGGGGCGCCTCCGTCATACTCACTGGGATGATGCCTTCAGCATGTAGCTGACCTCCCGGTCATCCGCGTTCTCCAGCAGCCTCAAGATGAAGACGTTGGCCAAGCTTTGCCCCTGGTCTTCTAACTCTTCCACCCGCAGGAGTCCCCGGGATGCGGAGTCGAACACTTGGTACTTGTCCCTGGGAGAGGGTAATGGGAAACGTCTGCAGTTACCACGGGAGAGCTGGGCTCCAGTCACCCAGAACGGGACTGGGGACAGCACAAGAGACTCCGGGCTCGCTCTGCCCCAGGCCTCTCGTGCAGCCTGGGGCAAGGGGCTCGCTCTGTATCTGAGCTGCCCACGTGCCAAATGCAGGAGGTGTTACCGCAAAGGCACCTGCAAGGCCTAATTACTCCTGCCTGTAAAGAGTCTCTGTGTCTTCTGCAAGTGAGCTACCACAGAAGTGATTTTTAGGGACACAGACACTGCGACAATGCATTAGAAACTTTGGATGGGTGAGATGCTCCCTAACAGTAAGTCTAGTTAATGCCACTAAGAACATGCTGTTCCCTGGGACTCGGCTGTCTCTGCTGCTTGATTTCACTGATCTCTAGCTGCACAAGGCACAGGCTGAGGAATGATGACTTTCTCCTCCTCCTGAGACAGGGGATATCATGCCAAATCCAGTCTCTAGCCTTAGGCTTGTCACTTAGACTTTCCGGACTGKTTTTTTTTTTCAGATGTTTAACTAGCTAAATCTGAGAAGCTCTCAGGATAGCAACGAGTAAAGAAATAGAATCACTGCCCTGACAGCAGGATAGTCCTCCTGGGTCAGCCTGGCAGCTGATTCAACTCAGTGCTGCTCAGCAGAAGCCGCTAGGCCTGTGCTTGCTCACCCTGATGGGAGACCCAGCTGAAAGTTCCTGAAGTTCATTACGTTTGTGGTAGAGTATGGGCTGGGAAAAGCTGTGCCACCATGAGCAGCAGCTGCGCAGAGGTGAGGAGGTGACTGCTGACCTAAGGAGGATGCCCAGGCCAGGTTGGGGTGCCCAGAATGGGGGCATCTCATCAATATTGGATGAGATTGGATGAGCCAGCAATGGGCTGCTCCAATAACCCCATGGACAAGCAGGATGTGTCAAGTCCTCTGTCTGCCCCCTCAGTCTTCATACTCACCCAGGAATTTGCCTGCAAATTACCAGCAGGTCATTGAAAAGGAACAGGTAGATTTCTCTGAAGAGTTTCTTAGTACGGAGCGTGCGTGATGTCTTTGGACCGTTCATCTGCTGCAGCTCCCCCTGCTTCAGGAGCCAGCGGGAGTGCGAGATGATGGGCACCGACTAGATTCGAGGAAGAGAGAGCAAAGATCAGGAGACAACACAGTTGAGATGCTGTAAGAACCACGACGTGCAGAAGGAAGGSTAGCACTGGCTCCCATCACCACCCCTCATACTGCAGAGAAAGGACCAGAGTKGCACAGAGAGGTCAGTGTATGCTGTCATATGCCTATGTCAGCTGATAAGGGATGCTGATAAGGGGTGCTGTGGCGCCTCAAAACCTGGTTCAGACCTCTTGGCTACCAAAAAAAGACCAGATTCCCACTGGTTGGGTCTGTCCCAGCCAGGATCCAGTGCTGCCCAAGCAATGAAAGTACAGCAGTACATTGGCTGGGGTTTTAATCATGTAGTTAAGTGAGAATCAGGAACCCCAAAGGCCATCGGGAGCCCAAAGGCCATCTAATACCAGAAAAACATTTCACTTAGAGCTAAATGACTGAAATACTGAAAATATCAGCCTAACTGCTGTCTCTTCCACCTTCAGTACGCAAATTTTTGGGGTGCCACTGGGGCCTTTCAAACAAGCAGACTCTTCAGCTACTCAGCTATGTAAAAYGGTTTAGAGATACACCTTAAACGCACAGACCTGAGGAGCACCCCYATAGCAGGCAAGGAAAAAAAAACAGTAACTTTAAGCTCAGCCCTAGAGTTTTCTGGCATGCATTAAGTGATACTTGTTCTGACTCCAGAAATACCGATTAATCGAGTCATCGCCTGAGTGGAGCCAGAATACAGCATTAGCAGGTAATTAAGAGACTGTACATAATGCATACATAGGAGCTGAATTATGTGACAACCTCTACTTTGGTGTTTTCCAGCTTTGAAATGTTTTTCTTTGTAGTAACGATCTTCCTTTAATGTCATTTGTATTGTAAAATGAYAGCTGAAAGCTGAGTCGCATCTTGACAGCACAGGCCAGGGTCCTGCCACCACCGAACTCTCCCAGCAAAACAGTGTGACCAGGCTAGTGTAGGTGCGTACACGTGCACAACACCTGGATGSTGTTGCTGCATCCTCTGCAGAGATTGCTCGCCCATGTTTATACCTTGATTTTAAATTCCAATTTCTTCTGGATGCTGATCATCTGCTCTGTTCGGCTCATCTTCCTGACACCTTCATTGCACGCTTTCACGACCTGGGCAAAGAGGAGAGGAGCAGGGTTGACCTCCAACGCCTAGGCAGGAAGTGGGGATCAACAGCTGGGGAAAGGGCAAATGTTAACGTGCTGCCATCCTGGGTATTCCTACAGGATTTCTCGGGAAAATGGCACTGGTGGAGGTTTATATGGGTTATTTGCTCATTTCTTGGCTGCATCACACCCTGGTGGTTCAAATGTGGCCATGCCTGAGCAAACGCTACCTTGGCAGCACCAGAAGGTAGTTGTAGGGTGCTTGTCTAGCTCCCCTTTGCACCATGTATCTGAAGCTTTTGGGAGTGCTGACTACACTGAGCTACCGAATCAGCCAGCATTAAGCAGCACTGCTGGCTGCGCAGCAAAGGGCCCGGCCCKTTTGCCAGATCCTGACATGCCACCTATCTTTGTCCCCAGCACTGAAACAAGCAGCACACCCGGTACCGTCCTCAGAGAGAGTGAAGCCACAGCGCGCGAGCGGAGCGCTGCGGCTCTGCCACGGAGCAGCAGGCACCCAGGCGTGACACCTCCGCRGGGAGGAGGCGCCGTGGGGCAGCTCCGGCGGCGTCCCGAGCACAAACGCCTCGGGACCGATGAAACACAGCCAATGTGCGGGTGGCACCCGGATACCGGCACCTTCACCTAGATGCCACCGCCTGTTTCGTAAGGATCAAATCTCTGGAGAACTGACTAGTTAGAAAAATCATGCTGGAGAACAAGCTCCACTTTATGCGTGCCGTGTTTCTGCTAAYGAGAATCCAGCAGACAGCCAGCGACTGAAACTCTGGCCAGCCCCTACCTAGCAAATAGGACATTTGCAGAGAAAATATATATCCTTCTGGCCTCAGTTTTAATACCTGTATTTAGCTGCAAGTTAGGCATGTAAACTTTCTTATTTACAGATAAGAGGCCACATGAAGAAATGTATGAAATGGTTCAAGTGAATAGATGAATTCAAGAAGAATATTTCCCTAGCACCAACTGTCGTCATTTGTGTGCAGCAGTAGAAGCCTTCCTCAGGCCTCCCACCAGTGGAGAAACACGTGGCTATCAGATACAGGACAAGGGATGGAGGGACTCTGCAAATGCCAAGTAGTGCAACTATCCAGCACTGTGAAGGTCTCCTTTGTCCCTGGACCAATCCAGGCCAAGGCCAAGACCCTACTGATGGCTTTTTGGGCTAGTACTTCAATCAGAAGCCACAGTCATATCCTGAGGCTCACATTCTGCCCCAGTTTTCATCTTAAAATGTTTTCATAGAGCTGYGGGATTCAGGAGAAGCTCCTGATGAAGCAGGCAGCAAACACCTCCGTCCCTGCAGCCCTTTGTCCCAGCCCATGTGGCTGCTGGCAGTTTCTCACCACTCAATAATGTAGCCCAGAGGTGGCAACACCCTGTCTGACCATGCCAGGAAGCCCAAATGGAAACTACCCCAAACGCCTTCCTGGTATGCTGTGCATAGCAGTCACTAGCAGAACTGAACTGTGTCTGTTTGCCACCCCTACCTGCCAGCTTCAGGGAAGAGGCTAAATACAGACCTGAGCACTTCATTAAGAAGCTGCTGTTTCTTTGGCTGGGGAGGGAATGTGCTATATTGGAGGAGAGCTGACACAGTTGTACTCGGCTGCRTATTGCAGCTAATTAGATCTCTCTGTGGGATCCACCACCTTCAGATAGCCGTAAAAACAGTCTGTATTCTTGAAGATCCTCAAAGGGAAATAATCTCTCTGCCCTTTCCTAGAGAGGAAGAAGTCTGTTGTCAGCAGGGGATTCCTCACTGTGGTCATCTAACAGCTGCCAGACTAGTCCATTTGTGAGGGCAAGGAAGAGGGAAAAGAAATCACTCCTGAAATGCAGTGTCAGGCCTCATTTGGACAGCTCCAGGAGTGAATGTGGTTTGGAGGTCTTTACTAGAAAACTTAGCATGATGGCTTATGTTTTATGGTCTTCACTTAGCTCTTTCAAACTTACTGTTTCCAGCTCCTTATGTGCATCCAGGGCAGTGGACTCCCTCTCAGACTTCTCTTCCACTTTCTTCAAAATGTTCTGCAGGGGAACAAAGGCTGCGTTAACTCCGATCCTGCTCTGACAGCACAGAAAAGCCTTTGCTATCCTCAGAGTTATTTCTAGACTTCAGCCTWATTACAGGGCGGGTGATGAAGCACAGTGACTTTCACCTCTTAGTTCCTATACTTCATTGAATGCTGCTTCCATCTGACCATGATTCCATTTGGTCCAAAAGGAATATAGCAGGTAGATGCCTATTTTTTTTTTAAATATTCACTAGAACTACTACTAACATATAGTGTTATTGGTAATCTGAGGGCAGCAAGATCATTTGGGAGCAAGCTGTATCCTCATCCCCAGGATCATGTCCTGCAGCACTGGGTTTAGACATGCCAGCAGAAGAGGAAGACAGCTGCTATAACAGGGCTTGTCGATGCCGGGTCCATCCCACAACCATGTGGGATTACTACACATGGAGCGTTCCCATGTCCCACAGCTACTCTGCACTATGCATCCAGGCATCCATGTCCTACCCTCAGGATGGTGTGGAAAAGGGGACTGTTGCTGCCCCTTTTAGCAGCTCTATGAAGCTCCCTTCATTATCTTTTGTTCAGTAAAAGCTATGTGGAAAATTCAACATGAATTTGSACACGGTCTCTGGGGAACTGAGAACACTTTTCCATAGCCGTTGAGAATGTCTGATTCTTTGGAAAGGCTTCATCCAGCTCGAGGCTTGATCTTGGCTATGGCTAAGCCTTGCAGGTGACTGCTGGGTGCAGAGCTCTGGAAGTGATCCGGAAGACCCTCAATATGAGCAAAGAGCAAAACTCTACCTGCACTAGCAGCTTGAGCCGAGTGATCCTTTGAAATGGCAGAATCAGGAAGGAAGAAAAGGAGAGGCCTTTGCATTTGGGATCCAGCTCCAGCTGTGATATCACTTCCCGGAAAGCTGGCTTGTCCTGGCTGAAGACAGAGAGGAGAGGGTGGTCAGTGCTACCATGCCCATCACTCTGCTGTGTAGGTAGTGACTCAAAAGCAACCTAGTCTCGGAGACAWCATCTGCCAGGCCTCTCTCAAGAACAGAAAAGAGGGGAGGAGGGGACTGAATGCTTCTAGGTGTATTTTGGTTTAAACCTAGGACTATTTATAGTGTTGAGGGATGGAAAAAGAAAAGACTTCTAATGTACAAGCCATGGTAGTGGATTCACATGTGTAGCACATCTAGCTCAGCAGCATACGCTGTGCGCGTAGGTGTGTGTGAATGGGGTGTGTGTCCAAGTAAATGAGTCAGCAGCATAATTATATATTTTTTAACAGTTGGATTTCTGTGACAGGATGAAATTCACAGAGTCATAAGAGCAAGGCAAGCTACAGAACAGCTTCATCTTGGCTGCCCTTGGCTGCTTAGCAGGAGGATGGAAATCGTATCTGGCCTGAGTAGGGCACAGAGGAGCAGGCTGGTGCTTGAAACCCCTCTGGCAATTCCCAGACCCTCCTGGAGGGAGGCAGCAGAAAACAGTCTGCTCTCAGTTCACTCTATATTCTCCATCAAGAAAATGCTATGCTCTCAATTCTTATCCAGGAACTCCTTAACTCTAACAGGTCCTTTTCAAGCTCGCTTAATCCAACCTATTGTTAATTCATATCTGGGTATTTATCTCATCGCTCTAGGCGAACTGTTTACAGCAGCTCTTTTGCTCACCTCTGGCTCAGGAAAACCTTGTGGCACGCTGCAATTGAACAGAACAGTTCACCAAGTGTGGCAGAGGCTCTTTTGTGTTTTTTTGCCTCCAAAGCTCGAGGAGCAGAGAAAGGAAAGAATTAGGGCTCATTATGCTCCTCTGAACCAGCTGCTGCTGGGAAGAAGGGAGGAAACACACAGGGCAGCTCGTGCAAWGGGCTGTCCTGAAAAAATCCAGGACAAGGTAACTGAAGAAAAAATAATTCTCATGCTGAAAGACAGGCTCGTAGGGCACTCTGTCTTGAGCTGGTGGAAAACAATTCCTCCCGGACCAAAAGACTCCCTAAACCTGAAAAATACTGCAGGAGGGTCTTGGATTGTATCCTCCTAYCAGAGCGTACTACCAGAATAGGAGGAAAACGGGTGTGCAGGTTTGGGTTTTGCTCGTTTGTTTTTGTTTTGATTTTAAGAAAATTTTCTTCTTCTGGAAAACAATTTCTCACCTCTGGGGAGATCATAGACCCTGCTGAGAAGCTCAGGGGGAGTAGCGGCTGCTCTTATTATTGGAGAGCTGTGATTATGTTCCTGGCCTTTCTATCTCTTGCCTCGACTTGTAGTTTAAAAATACACGTTTCACAACTCTCTGTTCCCATGCACATCGTAAATATTTCCCACATTTGGGAACTACTGGCTCTGAATTTACTTGCTCTGTTACTTATGTACTGCATCACCACACCTTTGATATAAAGTCTTTTAATTGTGTTTGTTTTTCATAGATGCAGTGTAAAATCAGAGAAGAGGAAACTTCTGCTTCTTAGGCCTTTCTCCTAAATACCCAAATTACAGGTAAACAAATACCTGTGACCTAGACAATTTTGGCAAGTAGTTCAGCATCAAGCACTGGGACTCACAGAAGCTGCTTGTAAGCTCTCTCCTGGTAGGTCTGGTTGGAGACGTAGGTGATGTACACGGAGAAGTGATTAACCGTATGCTGGTGGACAATGTCACACACATCTGAGATCACGATATTCTCTTCCACCCGCTGCTCGAGGTCCAACAGGAACCTAGAGGAGAAAYGAGAGTTCAAATCAGTTATCACCTGCCAGTCCCAGGGGGTTTCCAGCAGAAGCCCCTGGGGCTGAAAGCCTCAAATGTGTCCACGAGCTTCTTGAAAAGGCTGGGATTAACAGGCTGCACGTAGCCAGCTCCTTCCTCCCTCTGCAAAACAGGTAATGTGGAAGGGTCCCGTTCAGCTAGCCGAACCCCAGCAGCAGTTATCTTACCGCTCGCTAACAGCCATGACGTCAAGCACGTTGGAGAAGAGGATGTGAGCCTCGGACTGATGCAAGATCTTTTTCAGGCGCTCGTTCTCCATGAAGTGAGACACCAGCAGGTTCAGGCTCTTGTAATAGGAGGCTTCGGATGTAACCAGCTCAAACATGGCCTAGGGGAGAATCCCAAGGAGAAGCAGTGAGCAGGCACTTTCTGCCTTTATGGAGAGGTACGTACTGCGCTACTGTAGGAATCCGAGCTGTGCACAGTGCTGGACACGGCCCCCCAGGCCCAGCGAGCAGGGAGAGGGGAGCACGCAGGRAGGTGAGAGCCCCTTTTGGGCCACTACCACAGCCCATGCAAGGGGTTCTGTTGCCCCTGCACCAATGCTCCTCTGCCTCCACTAACAAGGCCTGGGAGAAAAACTGCCRGTCTCCAACTATTACAGGAAATCAGAAATAATCTCCCAGCTCTAGCACTGGTTTCATCTGTTAAGAGAAGCTTTTGGTGAAACACCTGGCTTCCCTGAGCCAGTGATATGGTCTAGGGCAGCAGAAGGACCAACTGATGGCTTGGTTCAGAGATAAATCATAACTTAACAAGACGAGGATATAAAGTCCCCCGCAGCTGCAGGGATGGTCAGTTATCACCGCACGCAGCTCGCTTGCTCTCTAGATGTTTGTTGTCTCTGTGCAGAATAGATAAAGCAGATGATTATTGACCCAAATAGCGACTCTGTTAGTTGAAATAAGGTTAAATTAAGATTCTCACAAGGGCTTCAACATGGCAGAAAATCATTACAGCTTTCAGAAATCTCTTGATGAAGAGGTGCTGTGCGTCCTCAGTCAGTTAAAATGACAAGTCAGTGAGCTACTTTCTGAGCTAACCGCRGGTCTTTGCGCCGCTGGGCGCCAATGAAACGCTCTCAGTGGGCACTAAGTCAAACCAAGTAGGTGGTCTTGTGCAGCAGCCCCTAGAAGGGAGACAGAGCAAAGGGTGTGGATGGTGATGAAAAWGTTTGGTCAGTGCACTCCTAACAGTTGGCATTTAAGGAATGAAAGGATGTTTTATTCTTCTCAAGGCTGGATTCCCAGTGAGGAAAGCGGAGGAGGACCAAGTCGGCTTGTCTGAACGGTTTCACCAGTGTGTGAGAACCTACCTCCACAGACYGAGTTCACTAAATGCTCCGTTCATAGGCTTAACAGTAAGATAAGTCAGAAGAGAAACAGAAGCAGATCAAGACGTGACAAAGAGTAAGAGAGGACGAGCTGAGACAGCAGCAAGTCCCAGGCAAATATTCTGGGACTTGAGGTGCACAAAGCCTGGCAGTACAACTTTCCAAATACTCCAAGTCAGGACTTCTCTCCTGTCCCATGTCTTTAATCATGGAATCACAGCCTGTAGTTCCTCTGCAGCCTCTCAGCCCTCCAACTAGTTGCTAAATCTCTAAGTTTGTTTCCTGCCCCACAGCTGCAGAACACCTCCTACCCCCTGCACCTACCTCCAAAGAAATTCCTTTCTGCCCTCTGCAGTCCCCAAAGCACCCAAATACCTACCCCAAATGGCCCAGAGTGCTGTTTCCCTCTTGAATGGTAGCCAKGAACCACAAATTGCAATGGGCACCAAACATCCAACTAACTGAATTCTGCTGGCTCTAATCAGTCACTAAATTAAAGAGCTTGAGCTTCTGTTTTCAGAGTTGCAGAAATAACCAAAGAAAATCTGAACTAAATGTCAGTTGATGCAGTTATATCTGCCTAAATCTGCAGCAGTCTGAAACTATCCCTTGGAAACATGACCAATACTGTCCTATCAGTCCCAAGCTTAGGAACTTGAAATTTAAGTCATACGAATAAAAGCAGTATTAATTACTTTCATTTCTTATTATTTTGGCTGAGAGACCGAGAAAGAGAAAGAAAAGTGAAGCCAGAAAAAAGAAGAAAATGTAGAAAAGAGAAAATTAAGACTCACTAAAGCCMTAAGTAAGTAATCATACAGATAAAACACAGATGGTGTTTTATCATACAGATTGAAAACATGAATTCCCAACTGCTCTGAGCTTCCTGCAAACCACTACTTAATAMGGGAAGCCTCTAGTTTGGGAGGGATGTTCTGAGCTGATGCTGCGGCATCGGCTGTGCTCAGCCCAGGCTGCCTTCCTGTGGTACCTCTGACCTCCCGCTGCTAGCAGAGCGCTCAGACAGGCAGCTCCTTGCACAAGACATTTACAGGTTGGAAATCTTAGGATTGTTCAGCACAGGAGAGGAAATTAAATCTTTTTGGGGTTGTTTTTGTGAAAGTGGAAGGCGAGRGAAAGGCTGCCTACCTGTCAGTCACCCGTGCTCTGCAGCGGGKAGGCCACGTGGCTGCAGCAGACACCAGGTTTGGGTCCTCCCGTGTCTGAGCACAGAGAGTTTCCAGAGCAGCGCTGCTCTGATCCGGATTCACACTGAGCAATGAAGGTGCAGTTAGTCTGTTCCTCTACCCCTTTTTCTAACACCAAAGCAACCTGAATTCAAATTATCCTCCAGCAAAAGCTTTATTAAAGCTCATACATCTCAGCAAAAATAGCACTCAGCTCAAAGACTGAGAATACTTKGCTAAACTTTTCTATCAATAGGTTGTTTTGGCCAGTTCTCATCTCCTAAAACAWATAAGACAAACCCAGAGTAGGAAAATCAATATTGGCAGCAAGCAGAAGAGGACAAAATAAAGAAACTGCATAGAACATAAAATAAGGACAAATGGAAAGGCAGAGAACTGAGCAGAGATCAGAAGTGTCACTGATTCAATGCTAATTCTTCTAATGTCCAGATCCCCACCTCTTCGAGAGCTCRTACCACGACAACAGTTTGCTTTTACCTCCTTTACATGCAATGGAGGAAGGATGTTTCTTCTCCAGTCACTTGTTTCTCCTGCCACACACACACTGCTACCATTTCTCCCCAGATGACTCTATGGCAGAACCCAAAAAGCTTTGCTTTTGGCTTCTTCTACAGTCGGCATCGTTATGTTATCTTCTCCACAGTGAAAAGAAAATCCTTGATAATTCATGTTTTGATGTGTTTTGATKCTCAACAGATGTCTGGGCAATTGAAGTTCTCCTATCAGCGATTTAGTCATTTTGGATAACTATTCCAGTACTGTGTAATTTTGGTATTTGACTCCTGTGCTCTGTACTATGTCCTTTCTTGGTTCTTCTGTTCTTCCTCTTTCTGCACTTTTGCCCGCACTTTTCGCCCCCCTCCTTTTTCTCTTTCTTTTCCTTTTTGCTGTGCCACTTCTAGTTCTTATTTTACATTTTGCCACTCTGGCACTGGCCTCAGCTGAAAAGGGCTGCTGCGGCTGAGGCCATTGCTGCCTGAGTGCTCTCCGAATTCCAGGACTAACAGGCCATGCTGCATTTTTATTTCATTTTCCCCAAACTCCACTAGCTTGGCTCATTTGTTCCAACAGGGACTATGACAAATTGCCTTCTGCAGCGCTTTCCAAACATCTATTGCTCTTCCAGTCAAGTTTCTTGTTTTGCTGTCTAGAAAGCAACTGCGTCTTGTTTTTCATCCCGTGTTGATGACCTGCCTCATTATTTTCAGTCATACCCAGTAATGACGTCTGGATTCCTCCTCTTTGCAGGTGTCACCTCGCTTATCTTCATCTCTGTTGCTTTGCAGGTTGCTGCAGATGAGCAGCGTCTTCCCTGGCTGCTGAGCTCTGCTCCATCTCAGCTCTCTGCCTCAGCTGCGAGCCGAGATTTTCTTGCTTCCGCTTTCTTTCTGTTCTTGCCAACGTATTCTCCACTCTTTCTCTTTGGTATTTAGCCAATTTCACAGTTTTCTGGCTTTAGGCTATTTTATAATCCCTTACGGATAATTCCATATCGAACAGGAAGAAAATTCCAGCTCTGATAAATTAGCACATCACTTCTCTAAGGCAGCACTGTCCCGTCTCCATCTGCTGCCTTTCTCATGTTATTTAAGCAGAGAGAGGAAAATTCAGTACACCTACTGAAGTACTGTTGGCATTCAGCAGTGCAGAGATTTTCTTTTTCCATAAAAGACCTACAGGTAAAAAATGTCACTCGACAGAAACGGCAGTTTTTCAAATCTATAATGCAAACTTTTAAGCTGATGTTTCTCTGTGAATTGCTATCTTCATTTTGAGGCAGAAAGAAGAAGAAAGCTTGTAATTTTTCAGATGCCAGACTGTGTTTGTAATGCCAGCAGTTAGAAATACTGTGTTTTGCCAGGTAAACAGAACAAACGTGAAATGGAAATAACCCACCCAGAAGCAGCAGCAGAAAAACAAGTGGTTTTGGCCGCCTCAGCCACGCTGCTGGCACTCCCGCAGTGCGGCCRGCGGCGCGTGCCGCTCCTTCATCCCCACCGCAGGCTGCGAGGGCAGCGCGCGGTGCGGGCAAAGGCTGCTCGCGCTGCCYGCGCTCTCCCAAACAGCAGCCGCTCGCAAACGGTGGCGTGGCCGGAGCTTTCACCGACCGCAGCAGCAGCCCCCACCGGCTGCCCTCGCCGCTTGATCCCGCCACGTAAATGAGCAGCACGTGAYGCTCCCTGGGGGTGTCGCTGGGCTAGATGGCTACAACACAAAGGCACCTCTCGATATTTTTGAGGGAGTTTTGTACAAGAAAACACTCATTTTTCTTTTGTGGACCACAGGCTCCAAGTATTAACATGTAAAAATAAGGAAGCTCACCAGTCTCTGTCTCTTTCCTTCTATGCCCATCACGTTTAAAACAGATTAATACTGTTGAATTCCTGCAATATTTCTGACAGAAAGTACGTTTCTTGCTAATAATGTTTGAAGAGGATCATCCTGCACCGTAGATCAAAAGCTCTGCTGCAAGAACCTCCTCACTTTCTTTCTACTCTTTTATAAATTGCTCCTAACGTTCATTCAGAAAAGGGAAAAGAAGCTTCATTGCTGCTGTCTGGTAGCAACAGCATATACAACACCCTGCAGTTTCAAAGGAAATAAGAAGCACTAACCAACATTACATAATAAAAGTGTTCAACAGAGCCAGCCTTGCCTGTGGCTGCGATGAAGCTTCTTCGGTTTTAAGTCATGATGTTCCTATTGAATTGACTCGTACTCTTTTAAGGAACAACCCAGTTAAGCCACTCTCCTCCTTCCCTCATTACCTCCTGAAGCTTGATCTCATCTGGCTGGAGGATGCTAAGGACGCCGCTGCTCCGGATCTCAGGAAGATCCTGCCATAAGTTGAAGCGGGATGTGGAGTTCCTTAGCGAACTGATCTGAGGGGCCGCTTTGCTCTCGGGTGTACTTGCAGCTTCCGATTCGTTTGGAGTCTCCTCACCGGCTGAATTCTCCTCCGGGTCTGCCTGAGAGTCCTGCAGCCGCCTGGTTTCAATCTCCTGGCGCGTAGATTTATCTCGATACTCCTGATACAAGAGCCCTAGAGGGGAATTTAACAGGTTGACAATCTGCTGTCACAACATATGTTAGTAACACACACAGATGAAGCCATGGTCAGCCAGAAGACATGAGAAGAGTTATTTATTATTTGCCAGGCTTTTAAAGGGCTTTAAAAAAAAAGTTACCATTCTGTGCAATACTATTATGTTACAAGTCAAATAGGAGTGCATGAGTGAAAAGCAATATTGCATACAGTGAAACTCCTTTAAAGGAGCATTTTAAGGAGGTGAAAATCTTAAAGGAGTGAACACTGAGCCACGCTAGGCAGCTCAAGCATCAGAACAGCAAAGGACAAGTCCTAGCTCAGGTCTGATGTACTGGGTAGTCTTAAACACGTTGCTTAATTTCTCTATCTCTCTCCCTTCCTTCTCAGATGAGTGAAGATACTCAATAATACTCACATGGCTCCAGATTGCCACAGCACCAAAGAAAGGTTCTGAATTTGAAGCAACTTGCTGCTCATCATTAGCACAGTCGTATGTGCTTCCAATACTAGCTTCAGGACCAGAAGAAACTGCACAGAATTTGTGAAGGTTCCTGATTTCAACTGATAGCATCAAAAAGGTAGGAACCCTGAAATGCCTAGGCCAAGTAGAAAAGACTTCAGATGCCCTCTCTCTCATAGGGCTGCTATTATCTGCTACATTTCCCGTTCTGAGACACCTGCAGGATTCCAGAAGTTGAATGAATAAATATAAAAGCCCTAGATATTAAATACAATGTAATAGATTTTCATCCCTTATGGAATAGAATAAATCTGGTCAAATGTACTTGTGCTACTGGATCTTGTAAGCAGATTTCATGCGTAATAAGGAGTGAGACAAATGGGTCAGGACTTTGTCTAGGGAGGATGGGAACACAGTCGTCACTGCCTCGTCAGTCTCTGGACCAGTTTTCACGAGGCTCAGTACCAAGCACCATTAAAACTGTACTGCAGAAATATGCTGGGAGAAAGCGCAGGCGCAAGCACGGCAGCACCACGGGCTGCGGATGTATCCTGGTATCTGTTCTCCCTGGAAAGGCATTCAGCACTGGATTAAAATAGCAGTAAGGGTAGCTGTGCCTAGGAAACCAGGCAGTCTTCTGTTGGCTTCCTACACAGTAACCAAAGAGGAGACTTCCCCTTAAGTTCAGCATGCTGCTGCTCCTTATATAATCTCTCCCTCTGCGTCAGCGAGGCTTAAACGGCTTTCCTAAATGCTCCTGCCTTCTAATCAGAGCCAGCGAGGGTGYTGAGCATGTGGAGGGGTGGAAAGGCTCTCCGAGGCGCGGTGATGGGGCCAGGCTGTTAACTGAAGAGCTGCTCTCAGTGGGGCGGCTCCTGCCTTGGGGCTCGGCCGGGGCAACTCCGGGGCTCGGGCGCAGCAGGGACCGGCTCCTTGCAGCCCGACCGCACCRAGCGCCGCCGAGTCGTGCAGGCTGGGGAGCAGCTTCCCAGGGTGGCAGGGCCGGCATGTGGCTCCAGGAGAACGTGCAGGACAACGGGAGCRCGACGCGTGTTGCTCATGCTGGAGATGGCTACACATACCGCTCCGATGGCAAAGCGCACCGGGCTGGGGGGGTCTGCCCTGCAAGTCACTGGCAATTAAGGCCATTTGTAATCTAGCCTCTCTGGCACAGATCTGGAGGGCAATCCTTTAACGAGATCTTTGAGACAAATTCTCCTCTTGCTTTTAAGAAAAACAAATCCAGACAGCGGACCTGCTCTGGCTTGCAGGCTTCCTGGCTGACCCGCCAAGCAGAGATGACCTAGGGAGGCTGCGGCTTGGTAAAGGGCAGGTATGGACACACAGAGACCAGCCTGCTAGCGGCACCCACCCCAGCAATTTGGTTGGGAGTGCACAAGGTAATGCCTTTTAAGGAGGAAGCTGAACAGAGACTGAGCGAAGCTCTACAATGGACAGCAGCTGTGGGAGGGAACAGAAGGGTGATACCAGGAGAAAGAAGAAAGGTAGATATTTGGGCAGAAAAATAATAGGAACACAAAGGAACAATGCTAGCAATGATAGAAGGTCTAAATCTGATTTTTAAAAAGTACGTCTATATGTGGGTAAGCAAATTATAGTGGAGAGAGCATGGGTTTTACCTGCGCTGTTTTCACAGAGACAGAGAAAGACAAACGGGCCAGACGCCAAGCAAGAGATGAAGCAAGAGGTGCTCATGGCAGAAGGTGGGTAACGAAACAGATGCAAGGCRAGGGACCAGGGGTTTGACATGCAGCAAATCTGGGAGCAGAGAGAAGCTGAGAGCATTAGCTAAACATGACYCCAAGGACTGGAAAACATAGCGGATGCCGGTATTTAACAAGGGAACAAGTGCAAAATGTCAGAGAGTTGTGCAAACTCCACATACTCCTTAGTGCCCCCAGCCGTGCTACTGTCACCTGAGGCTAAGGGTCAATCACGCACTGGAAGAGGGGTCTGGCACAGACCCCGATTAGAAATGAGGCGGTTAAGGCTAAACTTCATAYGGACTGATATCTACGGGGCTTGTTTGGTGCCGTACGAGACTTTTACCTTTGTGCTTACCCTGTTTCATTTAGACATCCGTCCCCCTTCCCCGCTCCCTGAAAAACTGGGATTGAGAAGCTCCTTGTGGAAAACGCTTGCCGGGGAGAATGTGCAGCATCGTCAAAGTCAACGTTACTGCACCGGGAGCTATGGGAGCTCCCAGGAGGGCAGAGATGATTTCTCTGAGCTACTCTGCTCCAGTTTCAGGTAAAAAAAAAGTGCCTATTAATTGCTGTCAGGCAGGAGGGGGAGCGAGGATACACTGGAGCCGTCTGAAATGACCTCCCTGTGGGTTACTGCAGGGGTCTGGTTGTCCAAAAACCGTGTCCGCCGCGGTGCAAGGGCTTGAGCTGCACCTACACTCGCAGCGCGGAGCCATCGCGCGGCAGCTGAGGCAGGAACTTAGCGAGGGGGAGCTGAGCGGGGGGGCAATGAGTGAGGGGCAATGAGCAGGGGGGCAATGAGTGAGGGGGCAATGAACAGGGGGCAATGAGCGGGGGGCAATGAGTGAGGGGCAATGAGGAGCGCGAGCTGAGCGAGGGGGACGTGGTCCCGTTTCATGCTCGAGGGAAGGGACGGGACGCGCAGCGCGGTGCCCAGCCCGTCACCAAGCGCGCGGGACCGACGGCGGGCGCGGCGCTGGCTCTCCCTAGTGCTGTGGGGCACGCGAAGCAAAGAGAAAAGAAGTGAAAGATGAGGGGAGAGCTGCGCTAAAGCCCTTACCGATGTGCTCGATGAGGTTCCTCCAGGAGTCGGCGGCGAGGGGCTGCGCGCCCGGCGCG